AGACAACAAGTGCTACTAGTTCGTCGAAATGTATCGGCTTATAAATTCGTCTATTTTTTGTCCTCTTAGGCTAATGGTTGGATGTTCTTCCAGCATCCAGTACAATTTGCGCAGTGCTGAGCTGGTCAGTTCACAACATTCTTTCTTATGTTTGCACACAAGAGGTTTTAATTTTGCTACAGCGAAAGAGGCAAATTGCAGAAGACAGTCCCACGTTAAAGGTCCATTTTACATATAGTCTAAACTTGAAACTATTTCAGCGCAGTGCATTTTCTTACACTTTAAACGGAGCCTTTTTTCGGATGGCAAGCAAGAGGAACGATAGCTGATGGGTGTCAATAACTCGCGCATACTTCACCGTCGTTTTCGTACGTCAGCACACTGAACTTTGGAGCATTTCCTTCTTTTATGCTTTCATCTAGAAGGAATGGATAGATTGTGTTGGCTAAAAAATGACGTGTGAAAATTAGCTGAAAATGTTATAAAGGGTCTCAAAGGTGAAACTTCAAGTATAATATTTCAATCTTATTCCTGCAAGATCATTACCGAGTTGCCCATACCATCGGAATTTAAGCAAGACTTATTAAGTAAATTGAGTAAAGCATTAATTTCATACCTACTACTTTTATAAGTTTGCAATTTGCGAATTGTGAAGGCGAATAGTGCATTGGCACCAGCTGCTGGCGATTACTATCGTTTCTCTTGCACCACACCCCTTGTTTTGAGTGCAAGAATTTAGAGTACGTTATGGATTTTGAGGCACAATCCGTTTGAATTCTGCAGATGTTGTGATTGCGCAATCGATCCTTCAGGTGATATCAGATGTGTGAGCTGATAGAAGTGATTTAGCACCTCATAAATGAGTGTAGGCTGCCGGCCGGCGATTTGTCGGTTTTTTCCCGAACGCCGAGAGTCTTATTACTCTTGAAGATTTGTATGGTTATGTAGTATCGTTGATTTTCATTGAATCTTTCAGACGCCTATTTCAGTGCATCTCCTGCTGCTTTAGACCAGTTTTGCTACTAATCAACTTATCCTGGCTTACGAGTGTTAATATGGTTCGTCTGTTTTTTTTTTCAATCAAGAGAGTTCCACTGGTCTAGCAGAAGTTCCAAAAAATGTGGAGCATGATGTTGATGGTGTTTATAACAAAAAAAAAAACTCTAACAGTTCTGAATAGAGAAGAAAAAGGAAATAGGTCATGGCATGAAAAAATGCAAAACATCTCCATTCTAGACTGTCTTACTGTAAATCACTGTAGACACAATGGATGCATTCAAAAGGATGCGTTGATTTCAGTCTATACATATATGAAGCTGAGTGTTGGTAAATTGCTAGTTAGTGTGTTCTTTATAAAGATTTTTGTGTGTGGACCGATCAGCGCCAAACTTTGCATACATATGTTTTCGATACCAGTTTACCCCGTAGACTGCTTTTCCCGGTGAATATCCCACGTCTTCTATTGATTTATCAATTTTGAAAAAAAAATGAACTGTTATCATGTAGTGTCAAACCATTTCCAACTTTCGTGTAAACAAGAGCGGTGGTACTCATTTTTATTCCACGATGAGAAAGACTCGCTAATTCAGGCAATGCGGTCAGCAAATCTCTGCCCTGCGGTACGAGAGAAAGGGAGAGAAGCCAAAACGCAGATAAGTTGAACAATTGAAATTACGCACTAATTTTGCTCTTTGTAGCCAGTGAAACCCACGGTGCAGGCGAAGCTAGGCATGTCAGCTAGTTTTATAAAGGAAGAAAAGACTTGGTTATTATTCTTTGTAGTGATTTATATCCCCACACAGGTTTCCCATAATATTGTGCTTCAAGGATAACGTGCAAAAGCTCGTTGATATCAATTTTTGAAAGGGTAATAAAGGTATAGATAAAGTTCCATGGAAAAGAATTTTGCTACTGAGCAGCGTGTTTTGAATTTAACCGAGTCTTGTATTAGGGTAAGCCAAAAATTCGGTCGCATCATTTCCAAAGAATCGTAACTTCGTTCGAAGTCTCCGTTGAGAATCAAGGGAAAAGGAATTTATCTGAGGCTTGCCTGTGAAAAACTTGAATTTTCTCGAATACAGTATAAAATGGCAAAATAAAATTTTGGCGTTCTTTTCCAAAACCATAACTTTTCAGAGAAACGCTTTCAACTGTAATTTGCTAAGTCAGAAAGTGGATGTCACGGAATAAGCTGCTCTATCTTTGATTTTTGCATAGTTATATAAGCAGTTTTCTCCATTTGCCTTTGGATTGAGAGCATAGCAGGGACTCGCCAAGGGCTCATAAGAAGCACATGACTTACTTTTCAAAATTAATTAATTTCTGACAATAACTGCGAAATAGTACGAGGCTACAATTTCCTAAATTGGTGAGACAAAACTTTTACTTCAACCTAATAACTGCACTTGCTTGGACATGCAACATGCACTCCAAATTTTTCGACACTCATAATCTTATTCGTATAATTTCGTATAACACTCTGGATATAATTTAGTTTTTCATTCAAAGACAAGAAAAGCTAGACTAAGAAATTTTTGTTCCCCATAAAGATGAGAAAACACAATTTGAAAAATGTAGAGTATACATAGCTGGGCCATCAACAATTTGTGCATGAGTGTGGATGAATTGTATGGAATATGAGCATGTAATACGAAAATCAACCAGCATCTTAGTCATCCAGCAACAGATAACTTATTATCTTTTATTGGGTAGATCTATTTGCTTTGCCCCAAAACTGTTAGCATAAGTATAGATGCATATCGCATTGAGGACTAAGCTACTGTTCTCATTGATATATTGACTTTATTGCAGTCGTAACGGGTCATCAGTAATGGCATATTCTGATATACGTTCTCGCTAAAACTTCTGGATAGATTAAAGTGGAGAAGTAAGCCAATCTTCACCGGAAGGCTGCCAGGTACCGGTACTGTCCCGTACTGTATTTTGTACTAGCGCGGGGACCCATCAAGAGGAAGTGCAAACTGCTGTCGTCCAATGGCAGCGAAGTCTGGGAGCTCAATATCGGCTTAACATTCTTTAATGGTATGGCGAGCTATTAAAACTGCACTCAATATCAATAAATGATATCAATACATGAAAATTTTTCACTATTTAGAACCAACCAGCAATATAAAAATCGAATTAGACTAACAATTTGATACACTGAACCAATCTCAGTGATAAACATCACCAACCCTAAACTCAAAAATGCACCATCCGTGTTAATGCTTGAGCGATGTCTTAAAGGCAGTGTCCCGGCAGATTCGGGTCCTGGGGGATATACGTGTGGTGGGGTTCCTGGTCACCCCATCGCCCTCCAGGCGCACTCCGGCTGGGTGATGTTCCCCCTGGGCCGAGAAAATGGCCCTCGAACCGGCGCGCGCAACCCCATGGAGTGCGCTTGGACGGCCTCCCCCGCCTGTTCGGCGCGGGACCCCACGAGCGCTCTCCCTCATGATGCATGCTATCCAAAGCAAGAGTTACAGGCGGCAGGATCTTCGTGGACCTCCCCCAACTTTCCATCAAAAATCTCGTCCAAGCTGCTTTTCTGGAATTAGGAAAACGCAACAAAATCGGCCTTTTCAGCCCGTTCAAAGCTCAAATTCGGATTCTACGTGGCGAAAAGGCCTAAAACATGCAAAAAGGTGGAGGTGCAAAATCTGCCGGGACACTGCCTTTAAGCCTTCACATTGGAATATAAGGGCAAGCCGTTAATTCTACAGCATTAATTTAGATCTTACTTTGATATTGCAACAGTCAAGCATACTAGCTGCCTGATTTTTGAAAAGTGCAGTATTAGATTTTTCAAAATTTATGAAATGACCGTAATTGAACTACAATTTTACGCCTTGTTTGAAAATCGTAAAACAGATAAAACTGCTTAGCCATTCTATCACATATCAGAAACCAGCAAACTGCACTGAATGTTCCAGTATTCTGTTGCAAAAGCTTAGGCAGTCGAAATTGAACCAGTCACAAGTGCTGCACCACTGCAAAATAAATAATCTACAGCGCATACTTTTGAAACAAAAACCAAAACCCAAAGCGCTTCAAAAAATTTTGCTTTCGCTTGCTCGTATTTTACTTTAGCTTCTACGCTGATCACACAAACATTGATATGATGGACATCAGTCTATGCAACAACATTTGTCACCGCATGTGCGTGACATCTAAACATATTTGTTAAAATGAAAGCAGAACATCGGCAATGTTTGTGATGAAAAAATTCGGTCATTGACAGAATTTTTGGCGCAGCTTTAATGAGTGAGTAATGTTTATCCTTTCACAATGCTGAGTGATGTTAAGATGATGATTAAGGTAAGATTAAGTGCTCATCGAGGAAAACTACCAATTTGATCGCTTTTCTTCTATTTTCAACCAAAAAAGTCATTACATTCCTGAACTGTATGATAGGCTACCATTCACATGTACATTACACCGACATTCTTTGAAGAAAAATCTTTTTCGCTTCACCTATGAAGGAAAGACCTACCTCTTCTTGTAAACACGCCCTCGAAGACTTATCAAGTACTGCTCACACAAAATGCTCCCAGTACCAAAGACAATCAAGAATTGAGAGAACATTACTGTAAATGGATGCTATAGAAAAAAATGCGAGTCAAGCTTACCCTCCAAATATCGCCTTTCGAAAACCAGAATTTCTCTTCCACTATTTAGTATAAGATAGATCGGATTAAACAGAGAGTTGCTCTTCGTATTCAATCATATAAGTCATATATTCTCTTCCAGACAAACTCTTCCCTGTCTTGATGTTACCTTCCGAAGCTTGCACATAGGGCAATCCTTGAGTTTTTGCACGAAATCCTCAGGTTTACGTTTCTATAGAGAACTGTTTTCAAACTGCTTAGCAAAGTGAAAAGTGCTTGAAGAATTAACTCTCGAAGAGCTATAATTTATTTGCAAATGCATGAGAGATAGAGGTAATGATGAGACATGCCAGAAATTTGCTATAACTGAGAAAAATACAATCAAGAAATATCCTAAATTTTTCGAAGTAGACTCTGCTCCTGTTCTCCGACTAGAAGTTTTTCTGTTTCCACAGCAGGGAGGTGCATTCCAACTGATACATGATAGAGCCATCCACCCAATAGTGCACCTATTAGTGGTCCAATGATGGGAGCAAGGAAATATGTCGGGTAGGGTTTGCTGAAAAACATATTTTTTAGTTGATTGCCCTAGTATAAATGAAAAAGTTTCTTCCTCGAAACAACTATTTCAGATCTTACCTAAACACTCCTGATCCATGTGTCAAAAAAGAAAACAGACGAGGTCCGAGATCACGAGCAGGATTGATAGGATAACCAAGATGCACACCATAAGCTGTGCCAATCATAATAAGTAGCAGACCAAAGATCAACGGGTGCCAAACCTGTACGGACGTATTTTTTTACCACTGTAGTAAAATATCACCTCCCTGTACTTACTTTTGGAATTCTATTCCTCTCATCAATCGTCATGCATACAAAATAGCAGAGAATCGCAGTGCCGACTATCTAAAATGCAAAATTATGAATTTTCTAATTGTAGAAATTGTAAGAAGTTGGTGACCTGATCAAGGTAGGGAGTAAAATGGCCAATATAGGGTGCAGGATAACTACAGAAAACAAGTCCGGTACCCATAGGTCCAAGCACAGTGCGTACACCTCTATCGTAGTGATTGAATGTTTCTAAAAAATGAAATTGTCAGTGTTAAGACCTTTTTTAGATTTTTTTTTCAATCTCATAAGCACGAAACAGAATCAAAATCTACCATATTGATTATTTATGCTATGAGGGACAAATGAAGAACATTCATTTTCTGTTTTTTTTCTATGAGGAAAGGAAGACAGAAAAGCAGGGGAGTAGTAAGGGAGCTAGAACGATTCCGATTCTTAATAAGTGGGAAATGATAGAATTGACCGAATTCGTGCAAAATGTAATCTACAAATGTAAGATTTTAGTTCACACGTATTCGGCCGTTTTTGCCTATTTCGACAAATTTTTTTCGCTCAATTCTGTGGATGAAGCTCACTATACTATACTATACTATCGGTATAAAGTGTTCATGAATATTGCAGAAATAGAGGCGTTGTCACTTCTAAGTGATACACTCAAAAGGAAGGTTTTATGTGTAATTAAAGTACCAATAACTTTTAAAGACTAGATCAGCCTTGCAAAAAAAAACCAAAAAGGAACTGGGAAATAAAGCGTTCTTTATTATTCGGGGCGCTAGACTATTTTTGAGACACTTGGCCAAAGCTATGTCTGGTGTTAAAGTGTTGGCCTCGCGAAAAAATTCTTTGAAGCGTCCCACGTTTCTTGGGACGTACTTATCCACTCCAGACTATTTTGTTGGGATTTGGCTAATATGTCTTTATGGTAAAACCTTATGATCCCCCTCCCAGAAGAGATACTCAAAAGCGACTATTTTCTGCAGAACATTTTTGACCCAGCTCTCCAAGAAAAAATTTTTCACGAAAGTTAGTTCTACAATACACTCGTAACCTACTACAACATCTGACTTACCATAATAAAAGTAATACGTGCAAGCTGCAGCTAGAAACGCTCCAGCAGTTTGAGCAACAGAGTAAAGAAGTACCCATAAAAATGGCAAATGACCAAATGACCACATTAAAAGGGAGACGGCAGGATTGAGATGACCACCTGAAACACGATTAAACTGTAGGCTTTCAGCAAGAAGGTCATATAGGTTAACAAGAAGCTGGAACAAACCTGAGGTGTTTGCTGTAGCCATCACGCTAAACATCAGCGCGAAACCCCATCCAATATTAACTCCTATCCAGGTCGTCGTTTTTCCTCGTCCAAGGTGAAATTGCGCGACATTGCATGTGCCGATAAACTGAAAACAAGTGGACAAAAATTTGGTAGTCGTAAACAAGTGTTTGTGAGGAGGATAGGACACTGCTCACCACAAGCAAGAAGGTTCCAACAAATTCTGCGACCAAATTGCGTAAAAGTACGTTTTTCACTCCGCGAGATCGCAACCGAGTGAGAAGATTTGTGGTCATTCTAGAAGAGGAGCATTCTAGGTGGGATTTTTGTTTTCACGACTTCATCTCGTCACGGATAAATTATGCATTACATAGCAGACAAACCACTTGGGAATGGCGTTGGAAATGTATTGCAACTCCTAACAAATAGTGCCAAAATAAGAAAAATAATGCACGAGTTCTAAACTTCACTTCAAATGCTTCACGCTTGTACAATAATGCGACATATTAGCTAGATATTTTCTTCAAAATTTTTTTTGAAATAGAAAAATGGCTAGTTTCTTGTAAACGTCTTGAGACTAATCAGTCAGATAGCAAAAAAACTAAATTATATCTGCTCTCCCAGTTCTGCACTCGTTGGTTCATCAACATAAATTTTTGACAGTATATAAATTCATTTGACTTAAGCATGAATTACGATTGTGATTTGTGATTATTTACCATTGCATAATATTTGGATACGCCAAATGTCTAGACATCACTTGCAAACAAACGAGTTCAGTTAATTAAGTCACTGAAAAAAGCGTATTGTGAAGAGATGTAGGCATACGACTCACCTATAGAAATGTTCATAAATGCTTCAAAATATCAGACCAAAATAAGCTTTGTCGTACAAATTATTTACTAAAAGGCTCAAAGATAACTGATGAGCTGCAAAAAAAATGATTAGCAACTGACAGCCGCTGCATGACGGCCTCGTCAAAAATTTTATAACGAACAGGCGGAAGCTGACATTCTCGCTCTTTTTTCGATCGGAGAGGATGATAGCAGAGCAAGGAACAAGTAGTCTAGAGCTTACATGCACTTCCTTGTGATAAGTATGGTTCTAAAGTACTTGGTGCAGAGGTTGCTAAGAAATGTCATTGTATTTATGACGCATATATTAGGATATTGGGCCTAAAATTCGGTCGTCTCTATGTTGGTGCTGCAGAAAAAAAAAGAAAAATTGTTTTTTGGCATTCTCCAGAATCATAACTTTTCATAGAAAATTCTCATCAAAACAAACTTGCTCAGTTAGAAAGAGGAGGTGAGAAAACTTATAACACTGGCTTTTCTGAGTTTTATTGCACATTAGAATTTTAACGAGCTTGCCGCAAACCATCAAACCTCGATCTCCACTTTTCCACTTTCTTCTCTACAACAGAGCTTGAAAGTTATCAAGATTTCATTCAAAAGTGCATGATTCTTCCTTGTTAACAAAATCATTGCCAAACAAGATAGGAAGAAATTATGATTTTTTGAGAACGGTGGAGCAGAACGACCAACCTATTATGATACATTTGGTACATTCATTTAAAGATATGATTATAAGGCTTGATCAATGGAAAGAGCAGCAGAAACATAGGTACGATTGCATTATTTTGTATGGACCGGAAGATGAAGAAAAAAGAGGGCGGTGTGAGAGAGGGATCACAGATGCGAAAGGACAATTTGTTAAAGCGTGAACCTACTTTATATCACACTGTGTTATATACATACAGCAAATACTCATTATATTCTTTTGTGTGGAGGTAACTCCATGTTCAAAAGAAGCTTCTCCTCTCTCCCATTATCGCGTCATAGCCTCTAACAAAGAAAAGATCCCTGTTGAAGCAGAATTTGAAAGGCAGTGGAAACAGAATGCTGTTTTGAACCTGCCTTTCACATCTGCTAATGGCAGCTAGAACTATATTTATGAGCACTGTAAAAAACTTGGTATGGGCAATTACGATAAAATCAACCGTTGCAAGTCTACTAGGGATTGAGCAATTATGAGTAAATATTTTATACTGGAAAATAATCTTAGTCTAAAGTATTACTTTTTCCCCCATAGGTGCCTAGAAAGTGTTTGATATGATTTCATTTCTGTCGTCTTTCAGATTTTCGTCAAACTTACTCTAGTAACTTCTCGCCGCATTCGGGCTGCGCAGATAGAAGAGATTTGGAATTAATTTCCAATACCTTACAAGATAGAATACACTTCTTATAAGGCACTGTGACTAAGAGTACTTTCCATTGACTATCAGCAAATGCCTTTTGTTAAAGTTCAAAGTCGACGAATAAAAGGCAAGATATGCCACAAAACCGCATAAACTCAGAGGCTTTGGCAACACTGCTGTCCTTAAGAGATTTCTTATCACAAAAATTTAATAAGTATTAAGAATTTATAAGCCCGTTTCAAATTTTCGGAATGCAAAATTCTAAAAAAATCTCTCTTTACAATCGAAAAACATGCAGACAATCCTGTTATTTTTTTTCTTCTCAAGAATTTTGCAATGAGGTGAAAAAAGTCAGTCGATAGCCGAACTGCCGTGCGAGGTAATTCTATACTTGTGGAATATGTCAACAGCTGTTCACAATACTAACAACAAAAGGGCAACAAGAAATAATATCAAAATTTAAAGCAATCTTCTTAGGATTATAGGAGATTAAAAGCGATTGGAGAAATTGAATTCCCTTGATCTGACTGGTATACAATCTTTTACATTTCTCACACAATAAAACACTCTCTTTGTGAAAAACAAACGACATAAAAACTAAAAATTCTTATAGCCTGTAGCAAAAAATTCCACAAGGCTTATTTGGGTTTTTGTAAAATTTTAGGAAATACTTTGAATATTTACAAGTGTGAACAAATCATTTGCACTCCTTATGAGCTGTGTAGGTAACTTTCAGGCCCCATCCCGCTCTCGGACCGCCGCTGGCTCTAATTGTTTGAAGGATAAACCCAAAACAAAAAGATTGAACCCAATAAACGATGAATGAAGTAAATACTGGTTAGAAACAGTTTTCTCAATACAAAGAGGTCTTTTAATGAAAAAGCATGTGAAACAGAAGGCATTGCCCCCCTCCCACACTTCATATCTTGGCTGTTAGCCACGCCTAACTACTAGTATTGCATCATTAGTGCTACGACAGCTTGCTCCATCAATAAACCTCTGAAAGCATGAATTTGCTCGGGATTTTTGTAGAACTAAAATTCAAGTTTGGCGAATAATTCAAAAAATTATATCTTATAGTCAGAAATTTGCTTTGAATGCGGTTAATTAATCTGACAATGAGACCAAAGATATGAAGGGGACTAGACTGAGATAACCAAGTCAAAGTTCAAGATAGCAGGAGCATTGGTCACTCTTATCATATCACACCTTATCTCCCCATTCACACCGGATATGAAGTCCAAAGTCTATGCAAGAACTAAAAAGATGGGAATGCCCAGCATGAATCGGACAGGAAGAAAAAATGGAGGCAAAATGGTAGCGATTATTCAGTTCAAGCTTATTTGTCTTGGACTGAATAGTGTAACTTCAGAGAGATGGTCTCCAAACCTAACAATATTATTCTAAGAAAGGAATTACGTCACAAGTTCATTTTTGTCTTTATCATCTGCGATTGACTGTTTCCCTTTATCGGTTCCACTAACAGTTCTAGCGACTGATTTCAAAATTTCTCCATTACTGCACTTTCTATTGAGAGTTAGCTTTGAGCTTTGATCTCAGTTGGAGTAGTGAGATGCTATAACGAAGACAGTTTCCAGCTAAATACGGGAGTGAAGTAATGCTTTGTTTCAGAAAACAACTGTTCAATTTTTAGCGGCAGAGAAAAAATGCTCAATGTACTGTAAGAGGAGAGTAAGAGGCAATAATTATGAACATACGCACAGTATACAGTCCTGAATCTGTTCAAGAGTTCCTCGCTCAGCTACAGCAAGCTTACACCAAATATTCTCAGCTCCTTGGCTTCAGCGATAATCGGGCCAGAAATCAGAAAGCAGTGTGGAGCTTGTTGTTGTCTACGAGCAAAGGGTTTGCATCATATATTCAGCGAACAACGGCTGCACAAATTTCACTGATTTTTGAATACTGCAAAACTTCAAATTTCGAGTGTTCCAAAATCGATTGAGCTAGCATTGTACATTTTTAAGCCTTTACCAATTTGGAGTAGTAACAATGCAGATTGTGAAATTGCGCTCCACAGCACATTGCCAAAAGCAGATTATGTCCAGTGTTCACGGCGTAAACATCACCATACCGCTTTTCCTCAGTCTCATTCTTTGCTAGGAGAACAAACAGGAAGTAGAAGAAGGCGCTGCTATGCTGCTTAAAAACTGGTAAGCTTTTTCGTATGTTTCAGATGAAGATGCTGGAAATTGTTTGAAATCTCCGAAAGAAAATTTTACGAAAAAAATTCTCTTATCTGCGGAGCTGGGTCTGCTCAAGCTTTCGTTCCTCAAAGTCAAAAATAAGGGCTACCTCAGCCAACCCAAAGAAAAACGTTCAAAATCAAATACATAGGAAAATATGCTCTAAATTGAAGCGAACCAGACAAGCATCATAGATAAGGATTTTTTATAGCCCTCGGTCTAAGCTAACGTCAAGTTGTAACTGTTTTATGAACGCATCAAGATAAACTTGGCGTGTAATGCAAACAAGGCGAAGAATTAAAGTAAACAAGCCGATAACTCTGGCCAATAGCCAACGAACCAACAGCCAACGAACCAACAGCCAAAACCAACAACAAGCCATAAAATTTGGACACGTAGCTAATTCGACTGGATTTTCGATAGTTTTGAGCGTTTTCGAACTTTTTGATTCACCATAGCTTTCTAAAGAAATAATTGTTGCGAGTTCATTAAAATGTTGTTTTACAATCTATATCGCATGAGCAACGAATAAATTTTCTGGGCTAAAACCGCCAAACATCTCCTTTGAAGAGCCTTTACAGAAATAATTTCTTTGAAATATGTTAGAATTCCACGACTGCTGACGTTTTTATAGGAGGTGGTCTGCTGAGCAGTACTGCTAATCTTGGATTTCACAGAATTTTTCATAAAAATTTTTGGAAAAAAATGCGATACTCACGTATTTTGCTTTCTCTAGAGGGGCAGAAAATGCACTCTTTCGAGTTTTTTATTTTGTTCGTCGCCGAGAATCAAATGCTCTAGGTCTAATTTTACTCTATAAGGGCAAAAGTTCCGTGTTTATGTTGCGCTTATTTTCTCATGTTTATGCTAAATATTCATAGGTTTGGAATGTTTC